GCTCCTCCAGGCTTCAGGAGCCGCAGCGGTGCCTGGGGACACTGAGGCGTGGAAGGCAGGCTCTGCCGAGCGCCTTCCCTTCTGTCCTGGCCGTCACCGCACCTCGACCTCCCGGCCTTCTCCTGGAAGAGGCCACCCTTGTCGCCCGCCACAGTCAGGTACAGTGGCCTCTAGGTTCTCCTGTGGGATGTGATCCAGGTGTTTCTTAGAGCTTGGAGTCTGTTTGCATTAATCACACACATGTGCACATGTACACATGCACACAGTCACACTCATCTCTAGAGCAAGGACTGTGACTGTTTACGACTGGGTCAGTCCATGTCGTCACTATAACAAGGCAGCCGAGGGCAGATACTTTGTGGAGAAGAGAGGCCAACTCTGGCCTGTGGTTCTGGAGGTCAAGGCTGGGGGCCACATCTGCAGTGGCCTCCCTGCTGTAAGGGAGGGGACTCAGACATCACACAGGAGGAGACAGGCACCTGTGATGTCCAACACTAGCCCTAACCCTTGACTCTGACCCTCACCACCCCAGAGCCCCTGCTCAGTGTCCCCCAACTCTAATTCCACCCACAGCCCCACCCACCTTGCAATGTGACCTCTAACATTTACCCTAATCCTTAACCTTTAACCCTAACCCTAACCCCACTCACCTCCCAGAGCCCCTACCAGGTGACCTCCAGCCCTAGCTCCAACCCTAAGCTTCTGTGCGTCCCTCTCGGTCTGCTGCATGTTGCGAGGTCAGAGTCCCAGACCCCAGGATAGTGCCCAGCAGGGAGGCAGGACACTGGTGCCCAGCTGGGGCAGAGAAGGGGCAGACCTGGGCCTGGTCGTGGTCAAGCAATGACCCTGGTTTCCTTCTCCCTGACTCCCATGGCAGCCAAGATCAAGGTGAAGGAGGTCGGTTATGCTGCCCTGTCAGGGGGCTCTCAGCACCCCAAGTGTCCGTCCTGCCCAGCTGGACAGGGCTGCCCTGCTCAGCCTTCCTCACTGCCCTAGCCAGGAGCAGGCAGGGGTGAGACCTGTGGGCAAGGCAGCTGTGTGGGGAGCAAGGCAGGAGCTGCAGGGTTCCCTGTGGACCAGAGAGGAGAGTACTGGTCCTGCCTTTCCAGGGACCTTTGCCCCCCATCTCTCTGTCTCTCTGGCTTTCCCTATCCCTTCCATTTTTCCATGTCCCTCCCTGTCTCTTTCCTCTCTGTCTTTCCTTCTCTCCACCTCTCTTGTTCTTTTCCTCCCCCACACTAGGCTGTCACTGAAAGAATCCCACAGCCCCAGCTGAGTGGCCAAGAGGCTGCGTGTAACCCAGGCCTGCAGGGCATGTGTCCTGCTGGGGCTTGGGGACAGTCCTAGATGCTCTCTCTTAGGGGACACATAGCAACTGCCTCTGGCCACCCTGGGCCTGGCTAAGCTCCGGCCAGACCTGTCCAGACGCTGTCAGGATTTGGTCTCGGGCTTCAGCTGTCACTGTCCTGGCTTGGGCTGTGAGGATGAGGTCACGGATGAGGATGGGGTGGAGGGCCCCACACTGGCAGTACACGTCCCCCTTCCCTCCCTGGTGACCTCAAGCGGAGACCTGGCTGCTGGTCCCAGCTCTGCTCCTTTGCAACTGAGTGGTCTTGGACGATATCTAACTTCTGTGCCACCGTCTCCATCCATGCATGGGGTGAGGATCGTGCCGGCCAGGGCTCCTGGGGAAACGGAGCTGTGAGGATGTGTGTGGAGGATTTGTTTAAGGACTGGCTTTCACGGTTTGGGGGACAGTAAGACAAGGCCTGAAGAGACTGGGAGGAGCCCACACTTCTGCTTGGAGCTCTGAGGCCATCTGGAGGGCCCAGTGCTCACTCCTCAAGAAATTTGAGTTCCTTCTCTCAAGCACTTCGACTGGTGGGACAAGGCCCACCTGTGCCCTGTAGTCATCTGTCCTACCATCCACCTCACTTTGGGTCTCCTGCCTAAATGCTTGTCACATCCGACAAAGGCCTCCACAGCCACCTCTGGGCTGGTTTGACATCACCACAGGCTGGCCAGGGGTATCAGGCCTGGCCTAGGATCACCGATCTCCTGCTCCTGCCTCCTACACAGACAACATGTATTTTAGTTACAAAGGGATGTCAGAGTTGAAGAAGGACTGAGACCCTGAAGCACCGATGTCCTTGTATTTATTAGGTGCACAACTTGAGTGAGGAGTGTGCTGGTGGGCTGCAGGAAGTGACAGGGCTGAACCACTGTTGCCGGCAGGGCTCAAGGGTTGATTCTCAACATATTTTTGCAAAAAGCACACAGGAGTAGGTCATGGTTAACTAGTAACCTGTTTATCTGCTAACTGCAGCTACTGAGCTGGGAGAGGAACGAGAGTCGCAAAGTCCTCAGTGGTGACTGTTCTCTTGCTCTGAGGCACCAGGGCTTCACAGATCGTTTGCTGGTTTCAGCCCTGGCCGTTAGCTTAGGGAATAACCCCGCCTTCAAGCCAGCCACGGCTCTCACCACAGTCTTGTAGGCCTAGGACAGGCTCTGAATTTACTTTCTGCCAGGTTACTAATCTCAGTCACGGCCTGCTGTGTATCATGTCAAGTGGGTCCTCAGACAGGAGATGCCTGAGACTCACATCTCAGAAGTGACGATGGTGTTGTGAGGGTCACTTGTTGGGGCTGCAGAGATGTCAGCACGGCCAGTGAGTGAGGGTCGCTTGAGTGTCCTGGGACCTCCTGTCCCACAGTACTGACACCAAACCCTCCCTCAGCACCCAGAGCCCTGCGGGAACATGGAGCCCCCTGGAGCACGAGAAGACGAGCCCCATCTGGCTTCTCTGGGACCTGTCTGAACCCTGGAGACACAGGTCGCCAAGCACCACACTCCGTAGGGCCCACAGTCTCCTCACAGCGTCCCCGATGCTGGGCTCTAGGCTCTGAGTAGCGGGTTCATGACTCCTGGGGTCACAGGGTCACCTTTGCCCCCCTGGCCATGAGGTGACAGGTACAGTAGGAGGCTCCGGGTGAGGAGTCCTGGTTTGCATGTGCCACGGTCCGGAAACAGCCCTCAGTGGGCAGGAGTGCTTCCCACAAGCCCTGCTGTCCGCCAAGGCAACACAGGCCCTGTGGTGGCTCTCTGCCCTGCTGGTTTGGACAGGAGTTTGCCTCTGTGTCTACCCTGCAGCCAGACAGAAGTCAGTGACCAATGGTGAAGGTTGTGTAGTGTTTTTTTGTTTTAAAGATATGTTTTTTACTTGTCTGGAAGCCCAAAATGAATGGTGTGCGTATGTATGTGTGATGTGTGGCATGAGTGCATGTCTTATTTGTGTACAGTGTTTGGCTGCATGCACACATGTATGTTGTACGGTTGTGTGTTGTGCATGTGCATGTGTGCACGTGTGTGCGCACAAGGAACTAGAAACCACAGTGTCCAGCCTGGGCAACGGTGAGGGCAGAAATTCAAGTACCTGGAGTTATCTGTTACAGCAGGCTGTCGCTTCTGAGGCCTGGGTCCCCTGGCTCCCTGTTGTGACAGGTGGTGGGGCTGGCCTGGGTGCACCAGTGTGGTTCATCAATTGTCACTGGTGTCACTCGAGCTGGGCTCATTGCTCACCTATGCCCCCAGTACCAGGGTCCTGGGCTGCCTCAGACAGCTGGGTGACAGAAGCCATTTGCGTGGCCCCAGGGTTCGCATGGCCTGCAGGAGATGGTCACGCAGCTGCATGCCTGTCATGCTGACAGCAGGAGTCAGGCTGACATACACACACACTCGGTGTCTTCCAGGGGACATCTTCCCAAGGATGCACACATGTGCACACCACACAAGCGTGCACACACATATACACACATGCATATGTGCATGCGTGCAGACACACAGGCCAAGACTCCTGGCAGGGCCTCCTGGGTCCATAAGTACACACTTAGGCCTCACTACAACACGCTCCCTCTGGTGTGGCCACAACCTGAACAATAGCACAGTGCTGCCTGCTCAAGCCTTCGGGCTGAGCACAAGGATCCGAGCCTCTGTCCAGGCGGGCAGCCCTGTGAGCAGCCCCTGGAGACATGCAATGACCATGCCTAGCCCACAGCAGCACACGTATGCAGTGGGAATTGGCCAAGGCCCCGGCTGGGACAGAGAGGGCCTGAAATAAGCCAAGAGGAAGGATGCAGAGCAGAAGCTCGGCTGCAGCACAGATGGAGACAGAGCCGTTTCTTGGCCCTGTCATGCAGGATGCGTGTTAGCTGAATGAATGTAGAATAGACTATACAACCGCTTCTTCCCTGTGACCCTCCTGTGAGTGGATTCAGGGCCAGGACACAGTCGCTCCAGGCTGGGGCTGCCGGGCAGGGCCGGTGGCTCAGACCCCACGGAGCATGGCCCAAGTCCCTAGTGGGATGGCTGTGTGACCTGCAGAGCAGGCACAAGGCCACACGGCCCCCGCACCTGACTCAGCCTCCCAGCGGTGGCCCCAAGTGGAGGTGGCATCTGGCCTGCCAGACCCCAGGCCCTCCCTGCCCTGGCCACTGCCAGCCGTCAACGCCTACCAAGGCCCTGGGTCTGCACAGGCTCCTGGCCATCTCTGCCCCTGGGCACAAGGTGGCTTCCAGGCCATTGCTGGTGATGAGGCCCCATGCCTATCTTTTCCCTGGGGCCAGGAGGCCCAGGCTGGCCACCAAGACTGCCTGGCTGGTGTCCCTGCCAGAGCTCAGCCGCCTTCTGGGTTGTGGCTTGAGTCCTAGTTGTGACATCTGCCAGCTGGTGACCTTCTCATGTTGCTAGCTTTGTGGTGACCACAATGACCCTGTCATCCCACCCGTCCCTCTCCCCTGGGTCCCACGGCCCTGTGCACCTGGCCCCGGGCCATCATGACCCCACGCCCATCCCTGGGCCCTGCCATGCCTGCCACGGAGATGCGGCCCAAAGGTCCTGTCATCTTCCTGCCATGAGGCCCCTTTGCCACCCCGGTGCCCGCTGCCTGTGTCTTCCTGGTGGGGTGGGGGGCACATCCCTGTTCCAATGCAGGCGGACACCGGGAAGCTGCAGAGTCCTTTATTGAAACCATGAGTCACCCCACACTAGCCGCGGCGCAAGCGTGTTCCTCAGGCAGGCACAGGGCGGGAGGACGCTGATTGCGAGGGGAATGGCCAGGATTCGGGGCAGAGGTGCAGCTGGAAGGTGCGAGGAGCTGGGTGGCTTAGGCGGGGACAGCTGGGTGGAGCAGCAGGGGCAGCATTGGGGCAGAGGGTTGGGGCGACAGGGTCTGTCGCACCCTGCCACCTCCCCAAGCAAGCGGCTCCCGGCCCAGGGCAGCTCAGCCCTGGAAGCCCAGCTCCTTGTACTTGGCAGCAATGTCGTTCCGGAACAGCTCCAGCGCTTTGCTCATGGCACCCTGCGCATCTGCACCGAAATCCCCAGGGTGCTTGCTCTGCAGGACCTGGACAATGGCCTCCGAGATGAACTGCAGGACGGGAGGGAGGGAGGGAGGGAGAGGAAAGGGTTTTCGGCCAAGGCCTTGCTCCCCTGTGCCTGTGTGTCTGCACCTGGGCTGTGCTGGGGACGCAAATGCTGTTGCCCAGCTGTGGACAGAGATGGGTCCAAGCCACCACCTGGCTGTGCACCGAGTGGTGACATTTTACGGTGGTGGCCACCACGTGCCGGACGAGGCTGCGTAGCAGGTGGTGGCAGGACTGGGCCCGTGCCTGGAGACAGTGGACCAGCAGCAACCAGCACCAGGGGTGGAGTCTGAGTCTGGGCGGATTTCTCCTTGTCTGTGTTCCAGGGGTGAGCGACACAGGTGGAGAGGGTGGGGACAGCTCGGAGAGGGTTAACCCCTGACATTCACCCTGGGCAAGCTGGCCTTCACCGTGAAGGTCACAGATGCCCCCAACCAACTTGGGGCCCAGGGCAGGTACTGCTGTCCCCGTACGCAGTGTCACCGGCCCACAGGGCTCGAGGACCTGCTGGGCGCCCCACCTGCTGGCCCTGTGTCTGCAGCAGAGCCCACCCTCCAGGTGGCTGGGGAACCACTCAGCCACCTCATCCAGGCCTCTGTCCTAGTCCTGAGAGGGACATCCGGCCACGGGATTTGGAGGCTATGGAACACCTCGCCCGGGTGTCAGGTCCCCAAAGGCACAGTGCCCGCCCTGTGCTCGGTCAGACCCACTGAGGCAGCTCTGCCCAACTTGCTGAGTACGCCTGGCACGTGGCTGGGGAAGAGATGATGGGCTGTCCAGCCCAGCAGGCACCGTGATGGGGACTCGGTGGGAAGGGCACCACCCTGGGGCCCAGGGACGCAACTGAGAGCAGGGTTTCAGGGTGTGGAGGGCAGGGCAGGGCAGGGGGCGGGAGCAGTGGGGACCCCAGGCTGTGGATTAGGCAGTGGGGTCTGACGCTGCCACCCTAACAGCTGCTGTACCCGTCATAGACCCATTTCCAGCCAGAAAATGAGGCAGAGACTGCAAGTGTCTGCCTGCCCCATCTACATTCTCTTTCCTCCTTGGTGTGAAACACCAGAATACTTGGATGAGAGCTCTGTGTTTCTCCACTTCCATCCACACACGGCCTCATAGACATAGACCAATGCAATGCATACAAAAATCATTAGACAGACCCCTCCAAGGAGTCAGAAGGGAGACTTCCCCTCTCTCTCCCACTTCCTGTTTGGAACAGTGCTGAGGTGGCTAGAGCTCTTGCAGCTACCCTGGGCCATGAGGCAGCTCTGAGGCTGCACACAGAGAGCCCATGGGCCTGGTGACTGGACCCTGGGCTTGGACCCCACTGCTGCTCTTCCATGTGAGAGGGAAGGAACACGGGGACATGGTTCCCAACCTCGGGGTGTCTGTGGGCAGGTGCCTGCCATCCACCAGCTGTCCCTTGAGCCCTGTGTGTCCCTCATCTCTACCCCAGCGTCTGAGGGCACCATGCAGCCTGCTGTGCCTCCCCACACCTGCTTCTCCACGGGAGTCCTGTGTGTCACAGCTCCCCACGCTGACCTGCCTCCTCACCCCGCCTCGCTTTCCCCCATACATCTGGGCAGACAGTGTCAAGGGCAGTGCCCCAGCCTCCCCGTGGGCTGCTGAGGCCCAGGCAGGGTGAGCTGGACCTGGGGCCAGCACGGATAGGAAAACCAAGGCAGGGAGGAGAGCACTGTGCCCTGTCTACCTCCAGGTACTTGACCGGGATCTTGTGCTTGGTGGCGTGTGACTGGGCCAGGGGCGCGAGCTCAGCCGCGTGCTGCCCCTTCTTCTTGAGGATGCCGCCCAGCGCGGTGAGCACGGTGGTCCCGTGCTTCTTCAGGTCCTCGCTGGCCCGCATCTCGTCCTCTGTCTTCAGGTGCTTGAACTTGTCGAACTTCTCCAGTGTCTCAGGGTGGCCCTTAAAGAGCCTGCAGCACAGACGGGATTGGTCAGAGGGTACAGGAGGCGGGCCGTGCTACCCTGCTGCCCCTGGCAGGCTGTGACTGTGGTCACCCGCTGTCCCTTTCTGTGCCTCCTCTTCCTCCAGGGCACCGACATGGGGAGGGAGGTGGGCAGGCTGTAGCAGGGGCGGGCACGAGACACGAGGCTCACCAGGTCCTCCCCAGCATCCCCAACCCTCCTCTTCCTGCTGTTGCGAGGGGCAGGACACAGAGGGCGCTCATGCGGCACCTGCCTCACCTGTGCTGGGGCTATGGAGGGGAGAGGACCTGCACTGGCTTCACCCATGTCCCTGTTCGAGCCCCTCATGGCATCCCTACTGTGCAGGGCGTGACGCTGTCCCCAGCCAGGTGCAGGGCCAGGCTGGGATGAGGTGCTATCCTGCCAGGGCCACAGGGCAGCTTCCTGCTGGGGTCCCTGTGGCAGCTGGGCACTGCTCCTGCCAGCACTGGGAGTGGCCAGAAGGCTGTGCCCGAGACCTGGGTGGCTGCCTCCAGGCATGGGGTGGCTTCTGGATTTGGGGGGAGCCCTAGTTGGGAACACTGGCTGGGTGGCAGCTGACTCCACAAGGCCCACAGACTTAGGAGTTTCAGGAGAGGGGCCCGGTGGGTGCAGTGGAGCCCTTGGTGCCGGGGCATGTGTGGAGGAGCCGGCAGTGGGGCGTGAGGGACCCAGGGGCAGAGGGCCGTGGGAACAGGCAGATCTGCCCCTCCCCACACACAGCACTCGCCCTGCAGAGACACTGTCACCCCACACAGTTCTCAAACGCTCAGACCCTGGCCTAAGTGCCCAGGGCTCCCTGCCCGACGTCCTGGCCACACACATGAACCACACGCTCTGTGTTAACAGCAGGCTCTGTAACTCAGGCCCACACAGGTGCCGAGCATGCCGACACACGTCAGCTCACAGGAAAAGCCTGGAGAGGGCAGGAAATGGGCAGGAGTCCAAGGGCCAATCGGATTGGACCGCATCGGATCGGACCCCAGCCTCCGTCCCATTAGTGACCTCTCAGGTCCATCACTGTTGCACACTCAGGTGACACAAACACAAGTGGTCGAGTGGCCACAGATGTGCTGCTCCTGCAGGGGCCCACAGGCTGGGGTCCGAGTCCCCTGGCCCGGCCTGTCCCTGCCACAACTCTGGGATCCCAGCCAAGCTGCCTGCGTCACTGCCAGTGTCCCTGCCACCTCCCCTCCAGGGCCCCTGGCGCCTGACTATTATTATCCGGTGACAATGATCCCTGAGTCCCCGCTGACAGGTGCAAGACCACAGGCGGGGCCAAGGTCAGGACTGGAGGGGACAGGTGGGAGGGGCCGATGACGGGACCAGGGTCTTGGGCCTCGGCTGTTCGGGGCCCCCTGGGGTCACCAGACACAAACAGAGTGCCTCGGTCTGGAGGACATCGGCCCCCTGTGCTCACAGCCTGGACATGGACTCCCCACAGCACAGCATCGGGCTGGTGTGTCCAGGGAGGTCACCCTGCCCTTGTCCCTGGCACAGCCCTGGGAGGGGGCAGGGAGCTGGGAGCTGCAGCCTGCAGGTGCGGAGGCCCTGACTCTTCCAAGTTCGCCCCAGTCTGCTTCTGCCGGCCCAGTGCACCAGATGGGTCTCAGGGACGTCAGTGAGCAAGGCCAGCCCAGCATGCCCTGCACCGAGGCCCAGCTGGACACCAAGGTGGGGCCCGAGGACTCTGCCCACAGCTGAACACCCTTCAGGTGCTGCAGGAACCAGAGACCCCGAGTGCAGTGGGCAGCCGTGTATGTGGAGTGCTGTTGTCCCACTGCAGCTGTGTGACTTTGGGCCAGTCCCTCAACCTCTCTGTTCAGGGCAGTGACAACGGTGACATCGAGAGGAAGGAAGGAGGACTCAACCTGCACACAGTGTGTTCCATGTGTCTACTGCCTCCTCCTGCTCATCCCTGCCTTCTTCACCGCCAACACCCTCTCTAGGAGCCGACTGTGGCTGATGGGACTCTCCGTCATCTCCTTCCTGGAGTAGGGGAAGTCGTGGCCACCACCAGTGGCTTCTAAACATCACAGTCCCAGGAGCCTTGGCTCCGATAAAAATTGGAAATGACCTGGGTGTGTCCTGCCTCAGCCTTCCTAGCTCTGTGACCACACCCTTGGAGTGAGGCCTGTGTCATGTAAGTCCTCCCTCTCTGTGACAGTCAGGGCTGGTAGAGGTGACCTTGCCAGGCTCACCAGAGCAGCCACCACACTGTACCCCACGCTTGATGGGCAAGGAGCAGGGATGTGGGCCCACATTCTGCCACCCGACATGCAACAGTGCAGCACCCCCTGGGCCTCACGTCCTCACCTGCAAGGCAGGAGACACCCATGATGGCCGCCCGCCTGGGGGTCCTTCAGGGAACTGCCTGGGGCTGGTGTCCCATCACCTGCAAGGTGCCCACTCTGCACTCTGTGTCCTTCCTGTCCCTACTGTCCTACCCCCTCCATGGGCAAAGAAGGAGGGGGACCCAGGGTCCTCCCACTCCACCCAGAGGCCCAGGTCTAGGGAGGAGGGCATGAAGCGCCCAGGGTCACACAGGGAGCTGGTGGCTCAGGGCTGATGCAAAATTAGGGTTTGGGTTTTGTCCAGTGAGATGGGGCCTGGTGCAGCCCTGCAGCCAGAAATGGGTGGAGGACAGAGTACACCTCAAGGTGCCAGGGGGTCAATGGAACACACGCAGGCCTGCCTGGCTCCTCCCTGCCATGTTCCCCATGACAGGGTCCAGGGAGATGATGAGTCATCTGTGCGTGGGGGCAACTTGCCCTGGCTCCTACAGGGGCCTCAAGGACACCCACTTCTGTGGCCACAGGGACTCACTGCTTCCCTGAGGCAGGCAGATCCAGCTAGGATAGCAGGAAGAACCAGGAGAGGGTGATGTCACCATCACCATGGAGAGGGTGGTGGGGGACAGCAGGGTCTTGCACCAGCCACAGGCCCGTCACTGAGCTGGGAATTCAGAATCTGCTTCTGACCACAGCAGGAGGGCGGGGTGGAGACCACGTCCCTGGGTGCTCCATTCAGGGGCACTAACTGGCCCTGCTTCTCTGACTGCAGGGCATGTGGAGGTGGCATCATTCGATAGTCACTAACATTTCAGGAGCTCACTGGAACTTGGCAACCACTCTGGGCCCCTGGGTGTTGGTCTTCACCCTCGCTCCTCTGACGCAGGTCACAGGAGTCCCCTCCATACAGAGGAGGACGTCAAGGCTCAGAGAGGTGGCCTTCTTCCCAGAGGTCACACTCTGCTGGGTGGCAGAGCCAACTCCAGAGCTGGATCTGTCCCACCTTGAGGGCCACATCTTAGCCTTGAGATTTTATGGACCTTAGCAGGCCCATGGCTCTGGGGACACCCTTTCCCTCTGGCCCCTTTGTCCTTGTCCAGTAAGTAAGGTGGCTGGACAATGCCTGCATAGTGCTGACTGTAATTCTAGGACTCCTCCTGGTGGGGGACAGGCACCCGCCTTGGACCCCCGAGCTTCCTCCAGTGGTGGTCGCCCGGATGGACCCTTCTCCTTTGCTGGACATAGAGGCGAGAGGGAACAAGTGGAGGTGGCAGCCTCCCCGCAACTGCCTGTTGGTTCACCTGGCGAGCTTCCCACCTGGCAGCCCAACACCTGGGGTCTGAGGGCGGTGAGGGGACACAGCTCCTTTACCTGATGAGGACCTCCTGCCCATGGCCGCCGAGGTCCCCTTCCACCTTGCCCCAGACATTCAGCACCAGCTGCCACTCCCCGTCGCTGAGCCCCATGGTGTCCGAGAGCCGAGGTGAGTGCAGGCTGTGGTGTTGGGGAAGCTGGGGTGGAGGCCGCTGGACTGGGCTTTATACCTGCTGGTCCTGACGTGGTCACTTGATGCCGTGCTCCCCCTCCTGCCTCTTCCTTGGGGTCTAATCTGTGCCCTCACATGGGTGCTATTTTGGGGCAGGTGCCATTGTGGAGGAGCAGGACAGCTTGGGCCACGGGGTGGGGGCATAGGACGCGGGCAGAAAGGGCACCGCCCAGACCCTGCCAGTGCCTGAAACCCAACCCTCCCTGAACGTTGCCCGCCTGGGAGGACCTGGGGTGGACTCTCCCGGGCACAGGCGCTCTGCTGGCCCCAGGAGGGCGGCCGCAGCCTCCTGCCTACCCTGTCCGGTTCCCTAGTGCCCACAGCAGTCTGGGCTGGTGCTGAGCGAACCCAGGCTGCCTCCAGCCCCTCAGAGCCCTGGCTCTGTGACCTTGCTCCCAGATTCCCTCAGGAGAGTGGCGCCTGGCTCGCCCTCTGTCACAGTCGCTCCTGCTGTGCTGCTTGCCACTGCCTTGTGCCATGTTTCCATGCCGGCTCCTGCGTGAACCACGGCCAGCGCTCCCAGCCTTTGCCTGCCTGGGCTCTTGGCCAATAGCTTACGTGAGGTGACTCATTTAACCCCAGCAGCCTGAGGAGACGGATCTTGGCGTTGCCCCCCTCCAACTGGGGGAGCTGAGGAAGTGTGCCATGGTCACATAGTGGCTGACCAGGAGGAATTTGGGCCCCAAATCCTGCTCTCCAACCTTCATTTGGTCTCCGTGAGACAGGGGTTCTGTTTGATTCGTTTGTATGTCTGTGGGTCTCTCCAAGTGCCCTTTACCAAGTTTCATAAAATTAGAATGAACATTTGCCCATCTCCCCATCCGTCCATCTCCCCACTCTCGCACTCTCGCATTACCCACCCATCATCAAGTCAGCTCCCCATGCTCATGCTCTCTCACCCTTCCTTTCCTTGCTTCCTCCACCACCCAGTCACCCACCCGCCCATCTCCTTCACCCATTTGCCTGTCCATCTGACGTACATTCAGCATCTGCTCATGTATCTGTCCATACGCATCCCTTTGCTCTCCCTCTCTCCCTTCCTCCTACTGGCCCATCATCCACCTATCACTCATCTGTCCACCATTCACCATCCACCCACCCATCCATACCACAAACACGGCGACATGCTGAGGATAACAAAACAAATAAAACCACAGCATCTTGTGGAGACGAGTAAGAGGAATAAATGTATGATGCAGTGCAGTTGGTGCTGGGGTAAAGGGGTTCGCAGACCCTTCCTTCCACCTGCTCAGGGTCTACAGCTCATCAAGGCCTTGCCAGCTCCCCTGTGAGCGTAACTGGGACCCAGAGCAGGGCCTTCAGTCCCAGGAGAACAGCAGGATGGAGCTGGCATCTCTACCATCATTTTACATCTGTCCCTTTATCGCCTCACACTCTGGGTCAGATCCCTGCTTGGCTCTGCACACTGTTAATCACTTGAGGATCGTCTGCTAGAAACTGATAATGTGTGGTTCTTAGTCCCAAACATACCCACCCCACCTCAGCTCCCTTCAAGACTAAGTCAGGGCTCATAGGAGCATTCACTTGCCAGTTTTTACAGCACCCTGTTCCAAATAGCTGGAGTGATGCCCAGGAGTTGCCAGCCATTGTCCCAAACCCACAGCCCCTTGGACTCCAGGACAGCAGGGCCTCAAAGATGCTCCCCAACCCCAAGAAGGCAGTCATCTCCTGAGAACCCAAGCCCTCAGCCCATCAGGACGCATCCAGGACCCTCACAAGTCCAGCCTTGAGGTGGCCGCCAGCCAGACCGTGGCTTGAGCAGGACCACCTCTGCTGCCAGCTGCATGAACCCCAGCCCTTGCCCCCTGCCCTTTTCTGCAAAACCCCAAAGCTCCTGTGTCCCAGAAGACAGGCATGGAGCTTCTCCATCTGTCCCCCAGCTCTGCCGCGCTGATGAAAGCGCCGTCCCACCCGTCCACTGCCGCCTGCTCGATGGGTGACAGGGGCAGGTGGCTGAGCCTGGTCTCTTGGGAGCAGGGCCAGGGCTTGTCCTAAGACTCCGTAACATGAGCTGTCTTGTTGACAACTGAGGCTCTGAAGGGATCAGGAAGTGTCCAGCTGTCCAAGACTGCACGGCCCAGCCCCTGCTGAGGGGTCACATTTGGGGACCCCATGGTTCTCCCCAAGCCCACCTCCAGGGCCAGCATGGGACGAGTTGCCACACTGCAATGCGGAGTTGCGGCAGGCACGTGGAGGTGGCAGGAAGAGTCACATTCTGGCCAGCGCCGGGCCCCGGGCTTAGGTCTCCACCTGCTCGGTCCTTGTAGGGTGCCCATGAGCAGCATTCCCCTGTGACCTGCAGCTGACCTCTCCATGAGTCCCACACGAGCAGATTCCCAAGAGGCCAGGGGGCCTGCAGGGCCAGGCCACCCCTCTGGACATCCAGGAGGCAGACCAGCATGGCTGGCCCCCACTCTGTCCTTTAGTCTGCACCGAGAGCCTGGTCCAGGCCAGTGTCTGTGGAGAGAGGCGGCCTGGCAGTCAGCCCTGCTCCTGGGGCCACAGCCGCAGCCCAGGCTGGCTGGGTCACAACCTTGATGCCCCTGCCAGGATCCGCGGCTTGGGGCTCTGTCTCTGCCTCTGTGATGGCTGGCACTGGGGACACAGTGTGTGGCTTCTCCAGGGGCAGTAGCTCGGCAGGGGCCCCATTAATCCTTGAAGCTGATGAGCCTGTCAGAGTTTCCAGTTGAGCTAACGGGAGTTGCCGCTGTCCCACACCAGAGGAGCCGCTGTCACTGTCTGACGCTTCACTGCTGGGCAGGGAGGCAGCAGACGGCTGCCTGGAACGCCATGTTTGCCCTGGCCCTGCAGGCTCACATCCACAGGTGTGTGGTTAGCACAGCCCCTGTGGGGAAGGACTGTGATTGCTGGTGGGTAGATTACCGATGGTCGGCTTCTGAGCCCCAGCCGTGCTGAGTGCATGTGGTGCGGGGTGTGGGAGGCTCGCCCGAGGATGGTTACCATCAGCCGAGAGGCAGAAATGGAAAGGGATGATGAATTTCTCCTGTTGGTCTGAGGCATATGCTTGGTTTGAATAAAAGGTGATTGAGATGAGTGATTGGGGCTGCAGTCCCAGAGGCTGTAAGCCCTCTGATCCCAGACTTCTGCCTCTCCAGTTTTTCTTATCTCTTTTACTTTTTCGTCTGCGGGCACCTCGTTCTCGGGACCTGTCACCACAGTTAATACCAACAGGCCCCGTCTCCTCGTTTCCCAGAGTGCTTTGAGTCCCCAGCTCTGAGCAAGCAGACTCAGCCTCAGACCTTCGCATCCTGGGTCCTCAGATCCAGGGGAAAATTCTGCAGTGCCAAAGCCTCCCTTCAGCTGTCACCATACCAGCAGCACGGGTTCTGGGCTCCCGAGTCATGGAATGCTGGAGATGGCAAGGTCTGCTCTGTGGCACCCGGGGCCCTGAGGCTACAAGGCTGGCTGTTGTATCTCATCCAGTTCCGAGCAGGTGTCCTGCTCTCTAACTCTGTGGCACCTGCTTGAATACTCCTAAGATCAGTGAGCTCACCACCCAGTCATTTAAGGTTTCTTATGTATACCGATTGGAAATGCACCTTCCTGCTATACTCCCTCTGCACGTGGGCCCGCCAGGTCTCTTGTGCAAGGGAAGCTGAGCCTCATCCAAGACTTTTCCTGGTGGCCTGAACATTCATGGGACTCTGGCTCCACTGGGAGGCCAGGCAGGAGCTGAGCCGCTGCAGGGGCGCATTGCCTCTCGCCTCTGCCACTGCACACGAGGGAGCCCCCACAAGGCCTCCTGTGCCAGCCAGCCTGGAGCCCTGGGCTGTACTCTTACAGGATGGGAGCCCTAGGCTCTGTGACCAACGATGCCCTTGGCAAGTCTGGGAGAGCTTTTCTCAGGGCGCTTGCAGGGGCCAAAATGTGCAGAGAAAGTAGACACTTTGACTCCGAAAACCAGGAACCCCTGAGGGGACCCTCCTTCTGGAGCTGGCCCTGGGGAGCCTGGGCAGGGCTCCACTTCTGCTGGAGGCCTGGAGTTGGTCAGCAAGGCCTGACATGACCCCACGCTGGCTGAGGAGCCCCCCGAGCCCACCCTATGGCTGTGCCTCTGACCCCTGACGTGACCATCAATCACACTGACCAGGTCTTCTGGCCCACATCCTCTCAGCATCCTTGAGGCTGGGCGGGAGAGAGGAGAGGCATTTTGTGGTTGTGGGACTTGAGAAGTGGTATTCTGCCCAGGACCCTGTGGTCCCCACAGGTCTGGGTGGGTGTCTTACCAGGGAGGGCTGGCAGGACATGGTCCTCATGCAGCAGCTGTGGCCTTTCCATCCTGTTTCCCCCTTGCCCCCAGGGCTTTCTGTGGGGATCCTGCACCCCACCTTCTGCTGTCACCTTGAACCCCCTGGCAGGAATAGCTGTAACCCACATGGTGTTCCTGGCTTTTTCTTTGGGGTGCAGCCAGTCCAGAGCTTTTCCCCATGAACCTATGGTCTCTGCAGAGGCAGGAGAATGGATGCCAGGGCCCACCGTACTTCTCCACACCGGGCCCTGTGCTTCCTGCTACTGGGGTTTGGGGGCAAAGGCCCCAGCAGAGCAGGCCTGGCCACCTGCCCCTGTTGCCCATTGAGCAGGCAGCAGTGGACGGGTGGGACGGCGCTTTCATCAGCGCGGCAGAGCTGGGGGACAGATGGAGAGGCTCCATGCCTGTCTTCTGGGACACAGGAGCTTTGGGGTTTTGCAGAAAAGGGCAGGGGGCAAGGGCTGGGGTTCATGCAGCTGGCAGCAGAGATGGTCCTGCTCAAGCCACGACCTGGCTGGCGGCCACCTCAAGGCTGGACTTGTGAGGGTCCTGGATGCGTCCTGATGGGTTGAGGGCTTGGGTTTCCAGGAGATGACTGCCTTCTTGGGGTTGGGGAGCATCTTTGAGGCCCTGCTGTCCTGGAGTCCAAGGGGCTGTGGGTTTGGGAAAGTGGCTGGAGACCCCTGGGCCTCG